CCTGTCGCTTTCTACTAGGCTAAAGAGGCTCAAACCCAGCTCTCTGCAGGTTCCTTTCAGGTAGTTGTAGAGGGTGATAAGGTGTCCCCCTCAGCCTCCTCCAGACTAAACAATCCCAGTTCCCTCAGCCACTCCTCATAGGACATGTGTTCCAGACCCTTGACCAGCTTTGTAGCCGTTCTCTGGACATGTTTGAGTAACTCTGTGTCCTTTTTGTAGTGAGGGGCCTAAAACTGAACACAGGAATCAAGGTGCGGCCTCACAGCGCCAAGTACAGGGGCAAGATCCCTTCCCTGTCCCTGCTGGTCACACTAATCCTGATACAAGCCAGGATGCCATTGGCCTTCTTGGCCACCTGGGCACACTGCTGGCTCCTGTTCAGCTGGCTATCAATCAATACCCCCAGGTCCCTCTCTGACTGGCAGCTCTCCAGCCACTCCTCCCCAATCCTGTAGTGATGCTGGGGGTTGTTGCGGCCCAAGTGCAGCCCCCAGCATTTGGCCTTATTGAAGCTCATGCAGTTGGCCTCAGCCCATGGCTCCAGTCTATCCAGATCTCTCTGCAGAGCCTCCCTACCCTCGAGCACATCAACACTCCCGACCAACTTGGTGTTGTCTGCAAACTTACTGCGGGTGCACTTGATCCCCTCATCCAGATCATCAATAAAGATATTAAACAGGAGTGGCCCCAAAACCGAGCCCTGGGGGACACCACTCGTGACCAGCTGCCCACTGGATTTAACTCAGTTTACCACAACTCTCTGGGACTGGCCATCCAATCAGTTTTTTACCTAGTGAAGTGTGCGATTGTCCAAACCTCGAGCAGCCTTTTTTGCCAGGAGAATGCTGTGGGAAATGGTGTCAAAAGCTTTGCTAAAGTCAAGGTAAATTATATCCACAGCCTTTCCCTCATCCAATAAGCAGGTCGCTCTGTCATAGAAGGAGATCAGGTTTGTCAAGCAGGACCTGCCTTTCATAAACCCATGCTGACTGGGCCTGAGCATCTGGTTGTCCCTCATGTGTTGCAGGATGGTGTTTAGGATGAGCTGCTTCATCAGCTTCCCAGGTATCAAAGTCAGGCTGAAGGGCCTGTAATTTCCCGGATCATCCTTACGACCCTTCTTATAGATGGGAGTCACATTGGCCAATTTCCAGTCAGTCGGGACCTCCCCGGTCAGCCAGGACTGATGGTAAATGATAGAAAGTGGCCTGGCGAGCACCCCAGCCAGCTCCTTCAGCAATCTCGGGTGTATCCCGTCTGGTCCCATAGTCTTGTGTATGTCTATGTGATGCAGTAGGTCACTGACTGTCTCCTGGGTTGCAAGGGGGTCGTTCTCCCAGTCTCAGTATTCTGGCTGTAGAGGCTGGATTCCATCAGTACAACTAATCTTGTTATTAAAGACTGAGGCAAAGAAGGCATTAAGCACCTCAGCCTTCTCCTCGTCACTTGTTACCAAATTTCCTCCTGCATCTAGCAGGGCATGGAGACTCTCCCTGGACTTTCTTTTGCTACTGACTTACTTATAGAAACTTTTCTTGTTATCCTTGATTGCAGAGGCCAAATTAATTTCCAGTTGGGCTTTAGCCCATCTGATTTCCACCCTGCATAGCCTCACAGCCTCTTTGTAATCACTGTGTGTGGCTAGCCCCTTCTTCCAAAGGCTGTAAACTCTCCTTTTCTCCCTGAGTTGCAGCCAAAGCTCCCTGTTCAGCCAGGGTGGTCTTCTCTGGCATTGGCTTCTCTTAGAGCACCTGGGGACCACCTGCTCCTGAGCCATTAACACTTCCTTTTTAAAGAGCACCCAGCCTTCCTGGGCCTCTATACCCTTTAGGAGAGTCTCCCAGGGGATCCTTTCAAGCAGGTGCCTAAACAAGACAAAGTCAGCCCTTCTGAAGTCCAGGATGTCAGTCCTGCTTAACTCTCTCCTGACCTCTCTAAGAATAGAGAATTCTTATTTCATGATCACTGTACCCTAGTCGGCCTCCAGCGTCCACGTCGTCCACCAGCCCTTCTCTGTTCACAAAGAGGAGATCCAGTAGGGCACCTTCTCTGGTCTGTTTACTCGCCAGCTGCGTCAGGAAGTTGTCTCCCACACATTCTAGGAATCTCTGGGACTGGTCTCAGTCTGACGTGTTGTACTTGCAGCAGATGTCTGGGAAGTTAAAGTCACCCACAAGAACAAGGGCAAGCGATTGTGAGATTTCACCTATAAAATATCTCGTCCATCTCTCTGTCCTGGTTGGGTGGCCTGTAGTAGACTCCTACTACATCTGCCCTGTTGGCCTTCCCCCTGATTCTAATGCAAAGACACTCAACCCTGTCTTTACTACACCTGTGCTTGAAGCAGTCATAACAGTACTTAACATACAGAGCCACCCCACCACCTCTCCTTCCCTGTCTGTCCCTCCTAACGAGCTTGTAACCATCATTTGGCACACTCCAGTCATGGGAGACATCCCGCCATGTTTCTGTAATAGCAACAAAATCGTAATTTTCCTGTTTCATCACGGCTACAAGCTCTTCCTCTTTGTTACCCATGCTGTGTGCATTGGTATACATGCCCTTCAGATGGGCCAATGTTTTGCCCCCTTCCCCCTTGAAATCTAGTTTAAAGCTCTCTCAATGAGCCCAGCTAACTCCTGCCCTTCCCTCTCCGGGACAGGTGCATTCCATCTAGTGTTAAAAGCTCAGGTGCCCTGTATACTGACCCATGACTGAAGAATCCAAAGCCCTGATGGTAACACCAGTCTTGGAACCACCCATTCATCTGCTGAATTTTCCTGTAATCTTCCTCATCCATCCCCCCAACCAAAGGGATGGAGGAGAACACAGTTTGTGCCCCCAACCCCTTAAGCAGTTTTCCCAAGGACCAGAAGTCTCTCTTCATTGCTTTAGGCCTTCTCCTAGTGATGTCATCACTACCTACCTGAAAAACCAGGAGAGGGTAGTAATCCTTTGGTCTCACTAGGGTAGGGAGTGTTGCTGTGAGGTCCTTGATGCGGCCCCCAGGGAGGCAGCAGACATCCCTATGCAGCGGGTCTGGTCTGCATATGGGGCCTTCAACACCCCTTAGAGTGGAGTCACCCACTACAATGACTCTTCTGGGGTTCTTTTCAGAGTTGGTTTTAATACCTCTTCTGAAGTGACCTGGCCTTGGTGGACCTTGGTCTTCTTTGTTTGTCTCATTTTCTTCCTCCTTCTCTTCTTTGTTCAAAAGTTCCAGGGCCCCGAATCTATTGTGAAGGGGCACCATGCAGGGTGAGGGAGGTGGGGAGAGGATTTTCCTGCCTCCCTCGTCTCTTAGGGCCCCTGCTTCTTCCTGATAGCAAGAGGATGAGGGATTACCTGCCTTGTTTAGAGCTTCCATTAGCTCCTGTTGCTTCAGGGGTGCTAGGGTGTTACTCCACCAGTCAATTTCCCGTTCACACTCCCTAATATTTCTTAATCTCTCAACCTCTTCTCTGAGTTCCACCACCAGGCTGAGCAGGTCATCCAGCTGATGGCAGCGCACACAGGTGCTGTCTCTGCTGCCCTCCGGCAGGACAGACAGGCTCAGGCACTCCCTGCAGCCCGAGACCTGAACCTCTGCATGTTTGTGTGGCAGCTTCATCTGGGTCGCCACGTTCTTTCTGGTGGTGATTTTGATGCGAGTGGAGGACCGTAAAGGGGCTAGCTCGGATAAGTTCAGGAACCCGGATTGCATCTGCGCCTTGTCCACTCGTCCTGCCTGCGTGAACTGACGCGCAATCTGACGTGCGTCACCCTTCTGATGCACCACACCCTGTTTGCCCACCCTGTTCACCACGCTTCTGGTCGCTCGCACTCCCTGGGGGCTGCTCAGCATGCTGTTCAAATATTAGTCTATTTTCATTTAACTGTCCAGGGTTATATTCCAGCAGCAAGTGAGAACCTAGAAAGTAATTTTTCTGGTGTAAAATGTGCTTACACTTGGGAGGAAAAAAACATACACTGTGTGTCATTCTTCTTACATCTTTTTACCTGTCATTTACAGACAGCAAAGATGCTCAAAAAAAGAAAGCTCACAAAGTATTCAGTTTTTCTTCCTGATGGATTTTGAAAGGATTCATCTTGGATTTTTGCCTCCTGTTAAAAGTAGGAGATGCTTGCTTCCTTAAATGACCTCTCTCAATCCATCCTGTGTCTCTTCATGGTGTTAACTCTTTATTGTTTCTAGATGTATCACATAGGATACTTTCCTCTCTAGCACATGAAGCCTAAAGGAGTGCCTACATTTGCTGAAACAGAGTTAATTCTGTTTCTTTACCTAAATATCAACTGGGTGATTTTTTGTGGTAGCTTTGCATTGAGATGGGGGGGAGGGGGGGAAACGTGTAGTAGTGTTTAGATTCCTTGAGAGTGTTTTCCTTTCCCAGTAGGTTGCTAGCATTATTTTGGATTGTGACTTCTCTTCTGTCCCTCCCAGAAACAAAGCAGTTTTCCTTGAGAGGAGGACTGTGAAGGGAACTTCGAGGTAGAATTTGACAAGCTTTCAGGACTCTTCCAACTTGCGACTGATGTTGTGTGTAATTATAGATTTTATGTCAGAAACATAGTTATGGCAAACTTTCAGTTTTTAGATGTCCAGCTTGTTTAAAAGATAGAGTTTATAATATATTAAGTTTAATTTAGTGTTAGACACAGGATTTTGATCTGTTAACTAATGCCACATCTTGGGATTTTGCAGCAGGATGTTTGAGGTGCTTGGGGGATTTATGTGTAGTCTGTGAAGATTGTGTAAGTAGGAGAATAGGTGTATTTTATATTGTACTGGTGTGTTGATTGGGTCGATGAGATTGTTACAGGGCCGTGGGATGATGATGTACTCTGTACTTAGGTTGTAGCAGTGCAGCCCTTATGGTTTTGTATCAGAGGCATAGAAGCCACACAGACTTTTTTTAAAATTTTTCCCAGATGAAAATCAGAATAGATACATAATGATGTAGCTCTAACTGAACACTGAGCATTTTTCTCATTCACAGGTAATTTCTCAATAGATGGAAACCTGTGCATTACTTCTGGAGTCCTCAGCCTCATGAATCCAATAACTAAGCCTGCTACCACCACTTCTTTCAGTGCTTCTGTGTCTGAGATTCCAAGGAAGCGTAAAGGGAGTGATTCTGATAACCAGTAAGTAAATAAATTCTGTATGTGTCTCAACGTAGATTTGAGACATTCATCTATTATTTATGCAACATGGTAACTGTCTAATCCCCTTTCCTTTATTTATTACCATTATTTATTACAATTTCTTCCAAATGCATTATTTGACAGTCCTGAGTTACTAAAAATAGAAAAAATAATCCTTAAATCTGAAGGTTATATGTAGGATTCTATAATACCATTTCCTGGCCTGAAGTGCCTGGGTAATGTGTCTCTAGTACTGAAATTTCAAACTTCTTTTTCTTGGGCATTTTTTTTTTTCTTTGCCTGCTAGTAAGACAAGTTCTCTTTGCAGCAAATTGTTATTACCTTGCCTGAAGTCTCACAAGTACACACTAGACTATCACCTTACAGTGTGAAACAGGATTCAGTTAAGCTCTTTGATATGGAACTGCAGAATCAGAACTGCTTCTTCAGTGACCAGAGCAGCCATTTACTTAAATGTCCAAACAGACCTGTGACCTATAAATGAGAACTGTCCTACAGCAGTGCTCAGTCTTTTAACTGGGTCATACTTGACCACTGATATCATACTGTCAAGTGTTTTCTCCTGTTTTATAACTGCTAAACACATGCCAGTTAATCAAATAATCATTTACATAGAAAAAATTTTTTTTAAAGTTATCTATTCAAAACTGTATTAATCAGCCACAAGTAAGGGACATGACTCAGTCTGCAGATCTGCTGCCTTACAATTATCTCCAAACTAGTGTGGAAAATCCATGTTTTAAAGGGGGGGTGGTGGGGTGAGGTAGGAAATGTCTATGTATTTAGGATTATTAAAGTATTTCTCTTTAATCACTGCTTCTTCCATATGTAGTCCATTGATCTACAGAATGTGGCCATGCTGTGGATGTTGGTACAATTGTCAACTTGGAGATTCAAGTGTATCCTGTTGTAGATCACTGAAAACCCCAGAAATATGTTAGTTTTGGAAAAAAAAGTCTCCATTCTTTTTCAGTAGCACTCGTTGACTTTTACCAGTTCAGTAGAAGTGCTGGTTCATCAACAGTGTTTCACTGAAGTTTGGATCTATCTCAGATTTTATTAAACTTATGTCATTAAAAAAAAAATAGCCCAAGTTGAAATACTAATTGAAAAAGTATTGTTTTATAAGAAGTAGTAATTAGTTTCTAAAAACTAATGTTCTTGCTGAAAATAACTAATTGAGTGGGCTTTCCACTAAAATTTTTCTGTGGCTTTTTTTCATTGGGTATATAAAGTCATCTTTTTGTGCTTCAAACTACATTTTGATTACCTTATTACCTGTTTCTGCAGGGATACAGTTGAAGTTGATGGTGATCCCCAGAAAAGGTACTTTTTATAAATGAATCCATTCTTGCTTTCAGTGCTATAAACATGGCACATTTACCTGTTTGGCCAGATGAGCTGTATGGTTTGCCTTAAGGAATGCTTTGTCTAAGGGCAGGTCTTTGTACAGCACAAAGTGATAAAACTAACTAACAGGGTGGATAGGTCCATTTAGTGTTAAGGTTTTATGATATTTCTTTCTAAGAAGATACTCTGACTTGCTTATAGATTTACTAGACTTGTTAGTATTGAAGTTAGGGGAAGAATGGGAACAAATGACAAGTAACAGTTAAAGAAGACAACTAGGGAGGTGAGGGAAAGGTCTCATACTCTCCTAGGACTGGTGCATGGAAATATTTTTTGTCTGTTTAACTTCCGTCAAGTGCTTTTTAAAACAGAACTACCACAACAATGTTAAAATAATGCTATTACATGGTGACAAACCAGAGGTAAGTTTGGCTGTACAGCATAAGTAAACCCTTTGTGTATGTATGTTACAGGATAGTTACTGGTTACATGATTACTTTGTTGTGATTTCTTTTTCTGCACCTGAATACCTTACGTAGAAAATATATTTGTTTATATGTAGCTGTGCAGTATTCTTTTTTTATAAAATAGAATATTTCAGTTGGAAGGGACGGACCTACAGCGATCATCTAGTCCAACTGCCTGACCAATTTGGGGCTCACCAAAGGTTAAAGCATGTTGTTAAGGGCATTGTCCAAATGCTTCTTAAACACTCACAGGCTTGGGGCATCAACTGTCTCTCTAGGAAGCTTGTTGCAGTGTTTGACCACCCTCTCAATAAAGAAGTGCTTCCTAATGTCCAGTCTAAACCTTCCTAGTGCAGCTTTGAACCATTCCCATGTGTCTTATCACTAGATCCCATGGATCAGCACTTCCCTCTCTGTGTCGTCTCCTCAGGAAGCTGTAGAGAGCAATGAGGTTGCTCCTCAGCCTCCTTTTTGCCAAACTAGACAAGCCCAAAGTCCTTAGCCATTCCGCATAGGACATGCCTTTAATCAGCTTTGTTGCCTTCCTCTGGATGCATTCAAGGACCTTAACATCCTTCCTAAATAGTGGGGCCCAGAATCAGACACAGTATTCAAGGCAAGGCCGCACCAATGCTTAATACAGTGGAATAATCACCTCTTTTGACTGGCTGGTTATGCTGTGTTTGATGCACCTGGGGGTGCAGTTTGTCCTCTGAGCTTCCAGAGTACAGTGCTGGCTCCTGTTGAGCCTGCTGGCAACCAGCACCCCCAGACCCCTTTCTGCAGAGTAGTCAGTGCCATTATGTGGCTTATTGGGTAGTATAAAAATCTTTGTTTGGGGATAAATTTTTTGTTTCTTTGTGGATTTTTTCCATCTTATGTCCTTAAAAACCTCTGCTTCCACTTTAGAAGAAATGGGGAAGTATGTTTAATAAATTAATTGAAAAAAATAGAGGGCAAGTTGGTATTCTTTAATTTTTCCTGGTTAATACAGATTCTGTTCTTCTAGTACAAATTAAATATACCTACTTTATAGCCATGAAGTAGAGTTTTACCCTATGTTCATGTAGACAAGGTAGTTTTAATCTAGCTATTTATATCGGTAACAACACAGCTGTTAAGACAGAGGCTATATAAATCCATTGAAGACTGTGACTGATTTCTTGAGCAGCAAATTTGTTCTAGTTTCTTCCCCAAGTGGAGCTCCTGAGGGAGAAGGAGAGTTAGTTAATAGGCCACATGCTGCATTGCAGTTGAATTGTCTCACCCTTACCTCTTCTCTTACAGTCAGACAAGGTAACTTCTATCAGAGTTCATACTATATGCACATTTCCGGTAAAAGTTTGTTTTAAAACGAAAGAAAAATACTAACTAATGTTAACTTGTCGAAATCTGAAACAGTTTCACTGAAGAAAAGTCTCAGGGTCTTGTGAGCCCAAACTACTCCTGTATCTGGGTTTATCAGATTCTCTAGAAGATTTCTGAGTTCCGGTGAAATTCCAGATTGAAGAGCTGGATCTCTAAATAGTGTGTTAATTTGGCTTTGGCTGCTGGATCCTCCACCAGGGTCAGTGCTTAGTTACAGGTGAAAGCAGCTTTTTGGGTCTTTCCTAAAGCTGTAATCTCCAACTGTCCTTCTACTTCCTACTTCCATTTCCTCATAGGAAACAGCTGCTGACTGATTGGGCTGTCTCCTTATAATCCTTCTGGTACGACATACGCCTCTTCTAAAAGGGTTGTAGACTAGCAGGTGTCTCCTCTGCAATGGAGTTTAGAGTACTGCATGAGATGTTTCCACTGCTGAATTAAAAATAGCTGAAGGACTGCTATAGAAATATTAAAAATATTTGTATCAGTTTTTCTTTTAAGGAAAAGAGTAGCCAGTATTCCTATGGGAACTGTCTCTGCAAGTATCAAATTGCTTGTACTGAACTGGCAAGATAACTATTAGGCCATGTTCTGATGTCCTTAATTAACAGATGGTGGTGAAGAATACAGTGATCTTAGGGAAGAAGAAAACATGTTTAAATCATCCTTTATATTTTCCTGCTGCCAAATATTTTCATGATACAGACACTATGATTGCCTTTCATTTACAGTTTTATGACACAGACTTTTCAGTCATTGCTGTATGGTATGGAAAAAATTTTTACCTTTTCTGACCATGTGCAATTAAAATGTATTTTAGGCCTAGTCTGGGCTAGGGTTGCTGTTTTCATCGTTTGACAGTAAGATTTCAAAAATAAAAATAAATGGGTGATCCCTCTTGTAAAAATATTGAATTAAAAAAAAATCAAGCCTGGACTTAAGTTATTTGAGTATTCCATTACTGTTGTGTTCTCTAGGATAAAAATAGCCCTGTAATTATGAAATATGCCTATAATATGCTCACGTAATTGTGAATATTAGAAGTTATGCTTTGGTCTCTTTCTGTTGTGCATCACTTGTTAGATCATTTTTGGCTTAGGAATTTTTGTGGGCTTGTTTTTGTGGGCTTGCTTTTGTTAGAGCCATAGTAAATTTGTAATATTTTCTGTATCGTCTTGAATTCATGGGAGGAAAGAAGTGTCTAGTATTAAATATGCAATGTAAGAATCTCTATCTTGTTTTCTCTAGGAGTGAAGATGATGAACATGTTAAAATAAAAGATTTAAGGTACAGTAAATGTCCGTTTTGCTAGTGAATACTAGGATTCATAATAGTAAAATATGAGTTCAAGTAACATTTGATAAAACTGTTGAATACTTAACAGTAAACTTTTCCTTTCCCTCTGATAAATGTATAGTAATTTTTAGAGCTTCTTTGAGGATTTTGTTTTCTACTAATTCTAATGAAAGCTGTGTTGCGGAATATCTCACAGAGAAAAAGCCTTGCATTAACATTTTCAAGGTGAGAAGTAGTCTCAAGCTGTATATAAAGGGAGGAGCTGATCCTCAGTCTGTATGAATTTGAGAATTGTTTATTTCTAGATTTGTCTACACTTGGAGGTATTTAAAATTTATACCATGTGAAAATGAATACAGCTAAAGCATGACAAAGAATTACTGTTCTGGAACAAGTTTTTGTATAGAGAATTATTCAAGGTTTGCCAGTGCACTTGGAATTTGCATCTTAACTGAATCCAAATTGAAATTCACCTAAAGCAGTAAGATTTGAAACACTGTATGACTGAATGTAGTCATGATTCATCCAAACAAATACTTAAAAGTATGGGCAAAGCACTGACTAAAACCAGAGTTGTTTTAAAAATGTCTTTCATTTGTCATGTGAGCAGAGATGTCAAAGCAGAAATCCTCTCTGTTGTCAAAAGCATTATTTATACAGTATGCTAATAATTATGAAGTGTTTCTGTAATTTAAATAAAATGGAAGAATTTGAAGCATTCCAAAATATATTCACAGTCTTTTTGTTTAAATCCAAAATTCATTTTTGTTTACTGAGTAAAATCTTGCTATACAAGATTCTGTTTTGCACACTGCATTAATAAGTTTCATGTCATATTGTTAATTTTTTTCCTTAAGTTTTGATTCATTAGTTGAAGGAAAAAAATAATTAGAAGACTCTTTGAAGGTTTACTTAACAGTTAACTCCCTCCAGTGTTTCTTTTCTCAAGCTTATTGAGGAATTTGCTTTTCTCCCTTTCCCTTTGTAACCAAGGAATGTAACAGAAGGCTTTTTGAATCATCCAGTCATCACCTGAATTTCTGCATCCACCTGTTCAGGTTTCTATAACTCCATATTGACTTAGAGATGTGGAAGATTGCCCTCTTTCCCCATATGTTTGTATCTGTCTTCCTGAGTTTCACAGTTCAAGTAGCATACACAATATATTACTTGATTGTTCCTATCTGACACAAAGGAAAAGTTGGGTGAACCTGTAGAGTTGAAAAGAGCTGATAAAATTAAATTTTAAAAAAATACTTTAGAGAGAGTAAATGTAATTGGTTGGATGAGTGAACCAGAATTATTTGTGTGGAGAAGGGATTTATTTTTGGGAAAAATACTAAAAATAATAGAAGACTATGTCATTAAAACTGTATTTTGTTCTTTCTTAGCAGGCCAGGTGTAGTTAACTCTGTTACCTTTGATACCTTCTGTTACAGTATGCCTAAGAGAAAGGGTTTTGGAGATGAGTTATCCAAAATTTGTTGTCCCACAGTTTAGTTAACTACCACTGTATCCATTCTCAGTCAGAAGAGAAAATAATCTTGGTTTTAATTGGGTTAGCTTGTCTTCTGGGTAAGGAGGGAATTGAATGAATTCAATTTTTCTTGATCTACTAGAGTTTGTTAGATGGGAGGAGACTGACTATAAAAGCTAGTATACTCCCATAGAAAGAATTAAAGAAAAGGTGATCTGAGATTATAAATATATTTGTTAAATGCACTGTCATGTGCCTTAGAGGGGGTTTTGTGATTAAAACTGTCCAAGCAGAGAAGCTCTCTTTCTGTGGTTGAGTTCTTGGACAGAGGCTTACCAAGAAATGAAACCTGAGATGCAAGGGATGCAGAGAGACTGAAGCCCTTTCTACCACCTTATCAAATGAACGAAGGTGAAAACCTTTCTGAAATGCCTCTGGTGAAATTACATGAGGCATAGCTTTTTCTTTCAGATTCTGCTACATCTCCTATAAGCACATATAAATGTATTGTCGCTTCTTCTGTGTTATGAATAAATGTTTGTGTTCATCTTCAATCTGAGTAATTTTTAAGGTAATGAGGTAAGAAGAAGACATTGCTCATCTCAAATTGTTGTGAGCTTGCATAAGGCAGAGTTAAAAAAAAAAAAAAAAAAAAAAAGGCAGCAGAATGAATACCCCATCTTGGTTACACAGGACAGGTAGAGATAGGGCCAGGGAGCAGAAATGTTTTCCAGTGGATATGGGGCATCAGATGTTCTCTGGTATATGGTAAAGGTGTCAAGGTATTCAGTTGGACATCAAGGGTCACAAGAAGAATTCTTTTATAAGTCTTCATAGTCTCTTGTTCCCACCACATATAACCAAGTTGTGTCTTGAGATATTTTTTTCCCCCTCAGTATTTCACATCATTATTGTGACCATTTCTGCTTTCACTTGACAAGTGAATCCAATTCAGTTGTCAAATACAAGTAGTGTATGAAAAACTGTTTCAGTGCACTAGTACTTCTTGTGATATGTTCCATTCCAAAAATTGAATTGATGGACATTATGGGAAAAATCATATGTTCTTCATCTTTCTTAAAATAATTTTTCTTCTTAGAGAGGCTCACAGTCAAACAGAGAAACGAAGAAGAGATAAAATGAATAATTTGATAGAGGAATTGTCTGCTATGATACCTCAGTGCAATCCCATGGCACGAAAGCTCGACAAGCTTACAGTGTTACGGATGGCTGTACAACACTTAAAATCTTTAAAAGGTGGGTTTTAGGAAGTTAATTCTGAAAATCCTTGTTCTAGCAAGAGTTAGACTGTGTATCTTCTTCGATGTTAAATAAATCAAAGGTCATCTACATTTCCTTGCTGGATTCTGTTCTTCATTTAAATTTACGTCTTTGCAGCTTCCAGAACTTCATTTCTTCTTTTTGCTTAGTATAGCAGAAAAAAGGCACCTTTCAATGTCTGATATTTTCTGTTTGCTGAGGGTATGCCTTTTAGTTGAATCACTCCTTGATTCCTTTCAAAAATTACAGTGATCAAGCAAGTCTGTCTTTTGTTATTTTCCAACCCCCAAATTAAACATGTGTTCTGTATCTCTCCACTTTCAATCATACTTTTTGTAACAGTAATACCTCTGGTGCTGTGCCCATGCCAACAGCTATACTGATAATAGAGAAGCAAATGGTCTTCATACTCCGGTTATTCCCATGTTTGTGATTGCATCAACCCTTTGTCTCTATATTGGCATTTCATATTTATCTGTTGACTTTGAAATTCACAAGCTCATGGAAAAAGACCACTAAACCCCAAAACTAAACAAAACCCCCACACTATCCAACCAAAAAACCCAACTACAGCTAAATTTTGGGAAGGTTTTAAGTTGAAAGCCAAGTTATAAAATATCAAATACTTCTGATGAATTGTTTGTCCTGTGTGCACTGGTAGAGAGCATGGAGAACTCACTTCAGTGATAGGTTAAGTCTTGTACAGTGTAATTTCATAAAACCAAAACCAGCTCAATAAAACTAAAGAAGAAATTGCATGTGGATATAATAATCTTTGAAACTTGTTTTTTCACCTGCAAGAATAATAGTCATAAGGAATGTTGGAAGACAAAACATACTTTAACAGAATGCTTGATGACTTTGATTAAATTGAAGTCTTAAACACCATGAAATATTAAAGAATACCAAGAAAAAGGAGTTATCAAAAATTCATATCCTTAGTCAGCTAGCAAAGTTAAAGTAATCGTTGATTTCAGTGAATGGTTCAGTGTCAGGATCAAACCAGGATCTAGTCTTTTCTTTTACTATTGCTAGGTTTTGAGATGTTTTTTTTCCTCTCCTAAAAAATTTATATACAAATATACATATTGCATAGTCTATCAGCAGCACACAATATTTGTTTTTTTGGCAGCACTGTCTCAGAATAATAATTTGGTCAACTCTAAGCAAAGATGAAACACTGCATTGGAAATAAATTTATTATAAATCTACCTAATAAAACCCCTATTTTAAGTGACAGGAGTGTAAGAAATTAATTATGCTACAAACTTGGCAGTAATAAAATCATACAATGATTTAGGTTGGAGGGGTTTTCTACAGGCCCATTGGCCCAAGCAGGCTGAGAATTTTGTGTAAAGAAATATTATGACAAATTAGCAGGGCAGTAATTGCACTTGCAGTTTAAACAAGCATCTACAAGAAATCCTCAGCTCGAATATTTGTACAAGAGGATATGAAAACTGCACTCCATCCAGCACAGTTACATGTATCTTCAAATATTTTAAGAAAATAGAAGATACTATGTGGAATTATAGTGAATGCTGAAATTTGCTGGAAAGAACAACTTCTGTTTACGTCAAATAATAACTAGAAAATGTGGAAATGCTTATAATGGCTAAAAATTATTTTAGTGTACTTGCCACAGATGCTAGAACAGTAAATAATAGTACATCAGTCTCACTAATTTTAGTGAGGCATTCAACTACAGTAGAGTGTTCTTTGGATTGTTGGATGTATAGTACTAATGAAACATTATGCATGCCAGAAGACAGTTGATAACTTTGGAATTATTCAGATTCAGCAAATGCTAAGGATTCTGAAATAAGCCTGTGAAATGCTTCTCAAAAATTCAGTTCTCATAATATATAATTTCTCTACATTAAAGATATCTGGACAAGTTTTCTTGTTTTATTTTAAGTAAAGGGCAAGAAAAATCTGGTTGTGTGCCCATATTCATTACAAGCATATGTTTAAGAGGTTGTTTTAATTTTTAATACTTTTAGGATTTTTATTTTATTCAGCTGTTGTAGTTGCAAAGAAAATTTATAAAATACAAAACAAGTATAAGTCTGTTTAAAAATAAATTTAAAATATAACTTCTGACATTATGTCTACAAATAATCTGTTTTACAGGTTCCACTAGCTCCTATTCAGAAGTTCGGTATAAACCTTCATTTTTAAAGGATGATGAGATCCAACAGTTAATCCTTAGAGTAAGTGGAAAGAAACTTTCAGTTAAATAATATCCTTATGAAAGCTTGCTGTTAATGAGGTTTTAGTTGAAGAGTGCTGCTTCTTCCCATCTTCAAGCAAGTGCTTTGATGTACTTGATAAGTACTAGTTTATAAACTCTGTACACTATACAGGCTTTTTCATTATGGGGTACAGAAGATGATTTGTGAGCATGGCAGAGAGCAGCCCTTGAAGGGATACTAAATCTGTATACAAACTGCATATTTAATGCATAAAATTTTTTATGTTGAAGTCTGCATGCAAGTATAGACAATGCTTTCAATTATGCATAAATATACTTGCAGTTGTTTGCTCTCCATTTAAATTTTTATGTATTTTGAAAAAGATGCAGAAATAATACCTGAAAGAAAATTTTTCTTCTTTTTTTGACACTTTGTCATATACCTACACCCCTTTACCCTTTCTCATTTGCAACTATTTTCTTTTTCCTTTGCTGCAATAACAGACTTTGCCAAGATCTGTAATATGACTCCCAAGTTAAGCTGTTTTTCAGCTGACTGCCTCTTTTCTCAAAGCTGTGTTTGAGAAGCTTTAACTGTCTGTAGTTGAAGGTCTGATTTGGTCCTTGCAATCTTAATTGCTTTTTGATGTGATTTATAGCTTATTTAATTTTGAAGAATGGGTTTAAAAGTGTGCTTCCTTGTAGTCATCGATATTCGTAATATATTTTAATTGTATGCTTCTAAAGACAGTATCTCTATATTTTCAGGCTGCAGATGGATTCCTATTTGTGGTGGGATGCAACAGAGGAAAAATTCTGTTTGTCTCAGAATCAGTTTGCAAAATACTTAATTACGATCAGGTGGTTATAATTGAGTTTCTTGGTTTGTTTTTACCTTACATTTTCTTAGAAATTTCTAAACTTTTACATTTGATTGTGTATTACTAAAAAACAGTCCTTGTATATAATTTCTTGGAATTTCTTTGATTTAACCTCCTTCGGAGTATGGCTGAATAACATGGAACAAAATATTTACAAGTAGAGTCAGTGATCCTGACCTGAGTAATAGCACCAGTTTTCAACTGATCATCCTTAAGAAAACTGCTAGTTCAAGAGGAAGGAATAATTTGTAGATGTCCTAATTTTTATCTCCAAGAGATTTTCTTTTAAATGGTGAAGTGATTTTGAGGTTTTTTTTTGTTTGTTTGTTTTTAGTCCAAGGAAAAGGGGTAGTTCAGCAGTGAAGTTAATTAAAGCTTTACTTGGTAGTGCCTTTAAGTTTGTATGCACTACATAACACCTTATCCACAATAACTATGCATGCATATACTCTTAACTTGAAGGAAAAACAAGATCATGTGAGCTACTTTAGCCTGTAGAATAAGAGAAATAGGAAAAATATAAGTAACTTCCATTAGTTGACATTTAACATCATGGACAATTACCAGGTAATCAAGGAATGATAACTTGTTCATGTATGACTTCTGTTGCAAAAACAGAGGCTAAACCAGTTAGTGCTTCCATCTGTCTACTTCTGTAACTTTGAAACCATTTGTGCTGTGTTCATTTTCTTCATAGATGGAAGTATAACCAATCTGTTCTATGTTTTGTTTTGTTTTGTTTTTTTTAAAAAAACCCAAACTATATAATTTTAAATTAAAGTGAAATAAATCATGGGAACAAAGCAGATTATTTTTTTAAAAAAAGTTCTTGAGTAAATTTAGTGTAGAAGTACCTTTTAGAGTCTCTCACATCAGACATATACCTACTTTTAGATCTTTGCGATTCCATCGAAAGAGGTTCAGAAAGCATGACTGTAAACCCATAGTTTGTTAGCGTATTTGGGAATTCTTCTAGGTTACGAATCCCATCCTGCAGCCTAATCTGTTTGTTACACCTGTGTATTTTGACAAGGCTGCTATTAGCCTTTCTCAGTGGCACTCAGCATTTTTCCTTTGCATTAGGGGTAGGTGGGGACTGGGCAAATGTAAGAGGCTGTATGTTTAAACTGCTTTCTTAGAAGCTTTTCATTAAACCCATTTCTGACTCTGGCTTATTGGAAAGGTGCTCCCCTTTATGTATGCAGTGATCACATAGCAAGTATCATGGGTCCAAAATGAGTTACAATTTGATTCTAGAATACTGCTTGTCAACATAGCTCCTTTCTACCCATTGATTTAATCTGCTGTGGTGAAGGTAAGCAATGAAAAAAAACAAAATCAGCCCACTTCTGTGACAGTTGCTTCCTGTTTCAAAAGAAGGTGGTGCTGCCTACAGTAGTGCTTTGGAGCGGCAATCAGCAGGTTGAATGGATCCCAGCTAGAGAGATTCCTATAAATATCCCCTGCTAAAGTGATGAAGTGAGCTGACCTCTGCTTCCAGGCAGCTCTTGGCTCAGTGGTGCCATTTTGTCCAATCGAACTAGAGCGCACAGTCATTAGGTAGCATGAATATTTCTTCCTGTTTCCTTACCATCTCACTCCACAACAATCTGTTAGTGGAGGTATTTTGTACATAACCTTTCTTCAGATGGGATCAGGAATAATATTATGTACATAAAACATTTGGTTTTACAGAACTGTTTTTTATTATCCAACGAAATCTGCTATTTTTCAAAGGGGAGGTAAAAAACGATATTTTTAATACCCTGTTTTTATACAAATAATATTAAACAATGGCAAATTAAATGTAGATCAAAATATTGAAGTTTAGAGTAACTGGTATTTGATTTTTTTTTTTTTAATGGTGTAAAAGTTTCTGAGAATATGTGTGGAGTTCTTTTCTAAAACAACATGGTTCTTGTTTCTTTTGGGTTTTTTGGTTGTTTTTTTTTTTGTTTTTTTTTTTTTTTTAATAGGCCAGTTTAATTGGACAAAGTTTGTTTGATTACTTGCATCCAAAAGATGTTGCAAAAGTTAAGGAGCAACTTTCTTCTTCTGATGTCTCTCCTAGGGAGAAGCTTGTAGATGGGAAAAGTAAGTCATAGTTGAATGTACTCATTTTTTTTTAAAGAGATGTTATTAAATCTAGTTATTATGTAGGACATATCTGTGTGTTCATATGTGCATAGATGTACAAACGAGATATAATTCCTGTGAACCAAACATATTTGCGTACTTCTCTGCTGCTTAGAATGCACTTACAATTTAAAAGCTAGCCCAGAAAATAATTTCTTTTAGAGAATACGAATTACTGAAAATTGCATTATTAAAACATTTACCAAGATGTGATCTGATGTTCTTCCTACCAGGCATACTACTTTTTTTTCTTGTATTTAATAGGTCTTGTCAGTACAAAAGACCTGGTGTAGTCAAACATGGGATAAAATACTTCAATATCAAGAATCACTGTCTTCTCTTAAAATGCTAAGTGTCAATCCTAATTTAACCAAATCTTATTTTGTTTACAGCTTTTCTAATATGGAAAGCGTTATGTACTCTGCTGCTAATGACTGTTTTATAGCTGGCTTTTATAAGCATCTTTGCAGGTCTTCATTGTACCAAATAGAAGTTGAAAGTTTATAAAGTATATTTAAAATACCATTTGGAATATCAGTAAGGGTTTAAAAATAGTTTGGCAGTTCTTTTTAATTTTGGAATTTGTGTGACAGTCAGGTTTTCTTTACCCTATTTAAGTTATTAGACTTTTTTTCATTAATTGTAAAATTTAGGCAGCTAAACAGTAAGGAGAACGTTCTGTAAGCTAAAATGAAAAAAAGGCCTTGTACTCTAAAGTTTTATTGTTGGATTTGGTTTCTAAACTACTCTACTAAATTTTTGTAAGCTGGCTTGCAAGTACACACAGATTTTCAAGCTGGACCAGCTCGACTGAATTCTGGTGCTCGACGTTCCTTCTTCTGTCGGATTAAATGTAGTAGGACCACAGTCAAAGAAGAAAAGGAGTGCTTGCCCAACCCAAAGAAGAAAGGTATTTAAACAGTGTAGATGAAGTGGAGGCTTTTGGTCTTGAAATTTGGTATATTTAAGTTCCAAGTCAGTAGTGTGACCCTTGTAGTTATCATTGACTTCACAAAGTAGCTGTAGAGAAGTGTAAATATGTACTGGAGACCATTTTGAAAAACAGTCTGATTGTACTCTTTCTCCTCCCTATTCATTCCCGGAAAAGAGGGAGGGAGGAACCTGAATTACAGTGGCTGTTTAGGAGCGCATGGTCTGTTGTAGTCTAATTGTAGAAGTCTCAGGGAAATTTTAGAAAGCACTGGAGCAGATCAGAAGAATGAAACGAATTAACATATGTCTTGAAGATAACTGTGAATAAGGCCTGCAAAATCTACTGTTTTGAAGGAAAAAAAAGCAAGTAGACCAACTTTTTTTTCTGATGTACTTTGTATTGTGTGTACTTAAAAATATGAATTTTCCTTTTTTTCCTTTTAATAGTAAAGTTAATAAGTGTAATTCCATTAATTTTTCCAGTAATTTTAATTTAGTTCATACTTTGTTATGCTTGTACGGTAGTATATTCTTGTCAGGTTTTCAGTGAATGGATGTTTTTAAAAAGTAGTTTCTAGTTTTTAATACCATAGTATTGATATTTGCAATGGTGTACTGAAATAGTTTGACCGTGAAAAAATCCTCCAACTTTTGTTTTTCAGTGTAACCTGTAATTGTTGAGATGTACCATACAATAGTAAATTTAAAAATAGGTCTCTAATTATAATTAAACAGAATTCAGTCTCGCTTAATGTGCAAACTTACTTAGTGAGATAAAAATTTAACTTGTACAGATGTTTCTTGGGAAGACACCTTGACAATCTGAGAAACTGTGACAAAGTCACAGTAGGATAACTCATTTTTTCATTTTACGGAGTTGATGTATGTTTTCCATAGTTGATAGGTGTCCTGGTTCAGCTAGGGTAGGGCTAAGAGAGAGAGGGGGAAGGGCTCTCCAGCCGGGTTATTAATACCATGCTGACGTCAGGTCCGGGCGCTGGAGCGCAGGAACTTTGTCTTTTGTGACTTTGGTGACAGGGAGCACGGAAGCGAGCTCTCTGTAACCATTGTGGTATTTCTCTGTATATCTTTTGTCTTGTTTACTGTTATTACTGTCTATTGTTGTTATCATTGCTACCATTGTTTTTCAGATTGTTTATTACACTGTATTAAATTCCTTCTTATTTTACCCCAGAGTTTGTGTCTCACTTCCAGCCTGACCGGCTGAGGGTGGGGGAGGGGCAACAGCAACGTGGTTTCAGGTTCCGGCAGGGCTTAAACCACCACAGCCTTTTTAGGCACACCAATGTGGGACATGAATTGGGTTAAAATAAGAATCAAAAAGGGACAGACCCTGACCAGAGTGTGTTAGAGCAATATGTTGGGTATAATCTTTCTGTTTGTATTTGTGTTTGTTTGATAAGCAAATGTTTGCAGTGCTGGCCCACTTGCATGTGTGGTGGGGCTGGATTAATCCTTATATCCAGTGTATAATCCCAGTGATGGTGTTTGCTATCGGTGGAAAATGTATAAAGGGTCTTATGTTGATGTACTGGTTATTGACTGCTTATGATGTGTTTGTATCACTGTTTACTGCCTGGGCTTTTGTTAGGGGTCTCACCCCCTCTATGGATGAGCCAGGGGAAGAGAGCCTCTCGGTTTTTGAGAGTTTCAATTATCCTTGGAGCCTGCAGGCCAGTGTGATTGTGGCACAATGCTTTCTAAATGTCTGCTTGATTTTGGTTTTGGCCATGCGGCTCTTCTCTAACAATAACAGTGCCCGGAAACCTGCCCCGAGGTCAGATAATAGGGAGCGGCAAGGAGTGTGGGAAAAGATGGGCAAAGGCCTAAGTTGGTGGTCACCTCCAGTGCTGTAGAATTTCACTCCCGAACAAATGCAGAGCCCTGATAAGCTGATGGAGTGCTTAGAAAGGGTGTGTTACCAAGCTGGCAAAACCCAGTAGACACAAATCGCTGACATGTGTTGGGGACTTGCTCATGCCTACCGTGTGCTCTTTAATACCACCCACTGCCCTCAAGGGGGAGAAAAGCCTACAGAATCTGAGAATGAAGTTCCTGGTACAGTATCTGGGCCGGGGGAACAGGCAGATCCAGTATCAGTTGCCTCCACCAGCGTAGCGACTGAGCCAGAAGCCAGCCAGTGTCGATATCAGTCGGCCCGATACAGAAATCAAAATATACCAGAAAGTCAGTTCACAAAGTGGGGGATGGGGATGAGCCAGGCCCAGCATGGGAATAGGAGGAAGGGCCAGTGGTAATCATCCCATCTCTATCTCCTACTGAGTAGCGAGATATGCGGAGAGATATCAGCTGCTGGCTGTGACAATGGAGCCAGTGCTTTTGAAATGGAGGGGAGAGAGGCCAAGCAGCTGGGATCTTTGGCCAAGGAGGCTGGCATTGATAGGGAAATAGGGAAACAGACTCAAACCCTCAGCCTTTGGAAGTGACTCCTGTTCAGTGTAAGGGAGAGGCACCTCTACAAGGATGATATTCTATGTCAGCTAGGCAAATGGAACAGCATTGAGAAAGCCAGTTCCCTGAGATTCTGGATGCCTGTGTTTGATATGATCTATGGTGATGTGAATGGTGAGCAGTCCCCTTGAAGACATGATGTGGCGAAAGTCCCTTAAGAGTGCACCAGAAGCACACTCGAAAGCATTGGCAATAGTGTCCTGGTGGACAGACACCCACACTCTGATAGTGGATGGAGTGTTTGGCAAGCTCTGGCAATATGAGGGAAATCTCCCTTCATCTCACCATTCCTGGGTCTCAGCTGTGAAGGAACTATCTCAGATGATCCAAAAAATGGAAGAGGACATGTCCTACGTTCCACCTGCACAGGCTAATGTCTCAGCCATTAGAAGTAAAGGTTTCACCACCCAAGAGAAAGGCAGCAGAAGGCACACACCACGAGGCACCCTGTCGTTTTTCCTCCGCGACCATGGAGAAAACATGAGGAAGTGGGATGGGACATCCCTCTGCTGCCCTAGCTGCACGAGTAGAGCAGCTGAAAGGAAAGACCATCATGAAAAGGGGAGTCCTCCAAGAAAAGTGCAGCTCCAGTGTCCAGTCAGAAATCCCCCAGGCAGAATAGAATGGTGAATGTTATGTCTGACCCTCTTGAGGGGACCAGTAAATCATTCTTACAAGAAGTGAGTTATGATGTGCATGATTAGAGGGGCCCTGCCTCCAGCTAGGTGGAGGAAAGGGATAATCGGATTTACTGGACAGTGTGGATCCGATGGCCTGGCACATCAGACCCACAAGAGTATAAGGCTTTGGTGGACACTAGCACACAGTGCACCCTGATGCCATCAAGCTAGAGAGGGGTCGAATCCCTTTGCATCTCTGGAGTGACAGGGGGATCCCAACAGCTGACCCTATTGGAAGCTGAAGTGAGTCTGACTGGGAAGGACTGGCATAAGCACCCCATTGAGACTGGCCCAGATGCCCCGTGCATCCTGGGCATAAACTAACGCAGGATAGGGTACTTCAAAGATCCAAAAGGGTACTGGTGGGCTTTTGGTGTAGCTGCCATGGAGGTCATTGAACAGTTGTCCACAATGCCTGGCCTCTCAGAGGATCCCTTAGTGGTGGGGCGGCTTAAGGTTGAGGAGCAGTGAGTGCCAGTTGCTACCAGGACCGTGCACCGACGGCAGTACCGCACCAACCGAGATTCCCTGGTCCCCATCCATCAGCAGATGCATCAACTAGAAAGCCAGAAGGTGATCAGCAAAACTCATTCCCACTTCAACAGTCATATATGGCCAGTGAGAAAGCCTAATGGTGAATGGAGGCTGACTGTGGACTACCATGGCCTGAATGAAGTTACGCCGGCAATGAATGCTGCAGTGCCAGACATGCTAGAGCTTCCGTATGAACTGGAATCGAAGGCAACCAAGTGGTACATTACAATTGACATTGCTAACGCGTTCTTCTCTATTCTGATAGCACCAGAGTGCAGGCCACATTTTGCATTCACTTGGAGAGGCATCCAGTACACCTAGAATCTATTGCCCAGGGGTGGAAGCAGAGCTCCACCATTTGCCACGGACTGGTCCATACTACAGTGGAGATAGGTGGGGCTCCAGAACACCTGCAACCCTTTGATGACATCATTGCATGGGGGAACACAGCCAAGGAAGTCTTTGAGAAAGGGAAGAAAATCATTGAAATCCTCCTGAAGGCCGGCATTGCCATTAAGCAAAAGAAAGTTAAGGGGCCTGCAAGGGAAATTCAATTCCTAGGAATAAAATGGCAAGATGGGTGTCGCAACATACCAATGGAGGTAATAAACAAGATAACAGCCATGGCCCCACCAACCTCTAAAAAGGAGACTCAGTCTTTCCTGGGTACTGTGGGGTTCTGGAGGATGCACATCCTGAACTACAGCCTGCTTGTGAGCCCTCTCTACCATGTAACCCGCAAGAAGAACGATTTTGAATGGGGCCCTGAGCAACAACAATCCTTTGAACAAATTAAGTGTGAGATTGTCCAAGCAGTAGCCCTCGAGCCAGTCCGGGAAGGGCAGGAGGTTAAGAACATGCTCTACACTGCAGCCGGGGAGAATGGCCCTACATGAAGCCTCTGGCAGAGAGCACCTAGGGAAACCCGAGGCTGACATCTAGGCTTTTGGAGCCGGGGATACAAACGCTCTGAAGCTAATTATACACCAACTGAGAAGGAGATACTGGCAGCGTACAAAGCAGATAGGGCTGCCTCAGAAGTGGTTGGCACTGAAACACAGCTCCTCTTGGCACCCCAACTGCCGGTGCTGGGGTGGATGTTCCAAGGAAAGGCCTCCTCAATGCATCATGTAACCGATGCCATGTGGAGCAAATGGGTTGCGTTGATAACAGTACAGGCTCGAATAGGGAAACCCAGCCACCCAGGGATACTAGAGGTTATTATGAACTCGCCAGAGAGCAAACATTCCGGGATATCACTAGAACAGGAGGTGACACGTGCTAAGGAGGCCCCACCATATAACGAGCTGCCGGATGAGGAGAAGCGATGTGCCCTGTTCATTGATGGGTCTTGTCGCATTGTGGGAAAACATCAACGATTGAAGGCTGCTCTATGGAGTCCCACATGACGGGTCACTGAAGCTGTTGAGGGACAGGGTGAATCGAGCCAGTTCGCACAGGTGAAAGCTGTCCAGCTTGCTTTGGATATTGCTCAGTGGGAAAAGTGGCCGAGGCTCTACTTCTACACCAACTCGTGGGCAGTGGCGAATAACCTGTGGAAATGGCTGCAGCAATGGAAGCAAAACAACTGGCAACATAAGAGTAAAGCCATCTGGGCTGCTGAAGTATGGCAGGACATTGCAGCCCATGTGGAAAAGCTTGTTGTGAAGGTGCGCCATGTGGATGCCCATGTACCCAAGAGTTGGGCCACTGATGAACATTGACACAACCAGCAGGCAGACCAAGCTGCTAAGATGAGAGTGGCTCAGGTGGATTTGCACTGGCAGCGCAAAGGTGAACTGTTCATATCTCCGTGGGCCCATGAGACCTCGGGCCACCAAGGTAGAGATGCAACATACAGGTGGGCTCGAGATCGATGGGTGGACCTTAATTTGACACCATTGCAGAGATCATCCACGGCTATGAGATGTGCTACAATCAAACATGCCAACCGGGTGAAGCCCCAGAGAAATGGAGAGCGATGGCTGAAATATAGATATGGAGAGGCCTGGTAGATCGACTATATCACACTGACACAGACCCGCCACAGGAAGTACCACGTGCTCACAATGGTGGAAGTAACCACTGGATGGCTAGAAGCTTACCCAGCGCCCCACGCCACCGCCTGGAACACCATCTTGGGCCTTGAGACCCAAGTCCTGTGGCGACACGGCACCCCAGAGAGAAGTGAGTCAGACAACGCGACCCACTTCCGAAACAACATCATAAATGCCTGGGCAGAAGAACACGGCATTGAGTGGGTCTACCATATCCCCTACCACACACCATCCTCTTGGAGGATCGAGCGCTACAATGGACTGTTCAAAACCACATTGAAAGCACTGGGAGGTGGCACCTTCAAAGACTGCAACATGCATGTAGCAAAGGCCAACTGGCTAGTCAACACAAGAGGATCTGCCAGTCGAGCTGGCCCGGCTCAGTCAAAACCTCCACGTGCTGTAGATGGGGATAAAGTCCCTGTGGTGCGCATGAGGGATATATTCGGAAAAATGGCCTTGTTTAGTCCTGCGCCAGGCAACGGTAAAGGCAAACCCATCCACGGGATTGCTTTTGGCCAAGGACCTGGGTGCACCTGGTGGGTGATGCAGGACAATGGAGAGGTCCAGTGCGTACCACAGGGGGACTTGATTCTGGGTGAGAACATGCCGTAAATTATGCTATGCCTGTGTAAATTATTACTTTCTTATTGTTAACTTCTAAATGGTACCCAGACATGATGCAGATGGTATAGAATAAAGGGGTGGATTATGTCTGGGTTGAACTAGGATAGGGTCAGTTTTTCCCCATCAGAGAGAGAGAGAGGGGGAAGGGATATCCAGCTGGGTTTTTCATAGCATGCTGATGTCAGCTCCAGGGGCGGAGCCTTTTTACTTTTGCTTTTGGTTTTGGGGGTTGCGACTCACACATGCGGCGGGCTTGTTCCCTGACCATTTTGCGGTATTTCTCTGTATATCTTTTGTTTTGCTTCACTGTTATTTCTGTTTATTGTTGTTATCATTGCCACTGCTACTATTCAGATTGTTTTATCACACTGTTTTATTAAATTTCTTCTTATTTTGGCCTGGGTTCTGTGCTTAACTTCCAGCCTGACCGGCTGCAGGTGGGGGAGGGGCAATGGCAATGTGCTCTCCGATCCCGCCAGGGCTTAAACCTGCACAGTGGGCATCGCCACATCCCAATGGAGGTGATAAACAAGATAACAGCCATGGCCCCACCAACCTCTAAAAAGGAGACTCAGTCTCTCCTGGGCGCTGTGGGGCTCTGGAGGATGCACATCTCCAACTATAGCCTGATTATGAGCCGTCTCTACCACGTAACCTATAAGAAGAACTATTCTGAATGGGGCCCTGAGCAACAACAATCCTTTGAACAAATTAAGCAGGAGATTGCCCAAGCAGTAGCCCTCAGGCTAGTCTGGGAAGGGCAGGAGGTTAAGAACATGCTCTACACCGCAGCCGGGGAGAATGGCCCTACCTCGAGACTCTGGCAGAGAGCACCTGGGGAAATCCGAGGCCGACCTCTAGGATTTTGGAGCTGGGGATACAAAGGTTCTGAAGCTAATTATACACCAACTGAGAAGAAGATACTGACAGCGTATGTAGGCGTTCGGGCTGCCTCAGAAGTGGTCGGTACTGAAACACAGCTCTTCCTGGCACCCGGACTACCGGTGCTGGGGTGGATGCTCAAAGGAAAGGCTTCTTCCACACATCATGCAACCGATGCCACGTGGAGTAAATGAGTTGCGTTGATAACAACGGGCTCGAATAGGGAATCCCAGGCACCCAGGGATAGTAGAGGTGATTACGAAACTGGCCAGAGAGCAAAGGTTCCAGGATGTCACCAGAACAGGAGGTGACATATGCTAAGGAGGACCCACCATATAATGAGCTCCCGGATGAGGAGAAGCGATATTCCCCATTCACTCATGGGCCTAGTTGCATTGTGGGGAAACACTGATGATGGAAGGCTGCTGTATGGAGTCTGTCATGATGGGTCACTGAAGCTCTTGAGGGGCAGGGTGAATCGAGCCAGTTTGCACAGGTGAAAGCCATTTAGCTTGCTTTGGATATTGCTGAGTGGGAAAAGTGGCTGATGCTCTACCTCTACACTGACTCATGGGCAGTGGCGAATACCATGTGGAAATGTTTGCAGCAATGAATGCAGAACAACTGGCAACATTAGGGTAAAACTGTTTGGGATGATGAAGTATTGTAGGATACTGCGTCCTGTGTGGAAAAGCTTGTTGTGAAGGTGTGCCATGTGGATGTTGATGTTCCCAGGAGTCAGTCCACTGATGAACATCGACACAACCAGCAGACAGACCAAGCTGCTAAGATTAGAGTGGCTCAGGTGGACTTGGACTGGCGGCGCAAAGGTGAACTGTTCATAGCCCGGTGGGCCCATGAGACCTCGGGCCACCAAGGTAGAGATGCAACATACAGGTGGGCTTGAGATTGAGGGGTGGACCTTACTATTGACACCATTGCAGAGATCATCCACGAATGTCAGTCATGTGCTGCAGTCAAACATGCCAAGCAGGTGAAGCCCCAGCGCAATGGAGAGAGATGGCAGATCAACTACATCACACTGCCACAGACCCGCCACAGGAAGTGCCACAAGCTTGCAATGGTGGAAGTAACCACTGGATTGCTGGAAACTTATGCTGCACCCCACGCCACCGCCCGGAACACCATCTTGGGCCTTGAGACCCAAGTCCTGTGGCGACATGGCACCCCAGAGAGAAGTGAGTCAGACAACGCGACCCACTTCTGAAACAACATCAGAAATGCCTGGGCAGAGAACACGGCATCAAGTGGGTCTACCATATCCCTTGCAATGCACTAGCCTCTGGGAAGATTGAGCACTACAATGGACTGTTCAAAACCACATTGAAAGCCCTGGGAGGTGGGACCTTCAAAGACTGCGACATGCATCTAGCAAAGGCCACCTGGCTAGTCAACACAAGAGGATCTGCCAGGCGAGCTGGCCCGGCTCAGTCAAAACCTCCACGTGCTGTAGATGGGGATAAGCTCCTTGTTGTGCGCATGAGGGATATATTCGGAAAAATGGCCTTGTTTAGTCCTGCGCCAGGCAATGGTAAAGGCAAACCCATCCATGGGATTGCTTTTGCTCAAGGACCTGGTTGTACCTGATGGGTGATGCAGGACAATGGAGAGGTCCGATGTGTACCACAGGGGGACTTGATTCTGGGTGAGAACATGTCGTGAATTATGCTGTGCCTTTGTAAATCGTTATTTTGTTATTGTTAACTGCAGAATGGCAGCTGGACATGACGCAGATGGTATAGAATAAAGGGGTGGATTATGTCCTGCTTCAACTAGGATAGGGTTTAAGAGAGAGAGGGGGAAGCGATCTCCAAACAGGTTATTCATATCATGCTGACATCAGGTCTGGTCATGGGAGCCTGGCAACTTTTTAGTTTTTGACTTTGGTCGTGGGGAGCATCGCGAGCTAGCTGTTTGTATCCATTGCAGTATTTCTCTGTATATCTTTTGTCTTGTTCACTATTATTACTGTCTGTTGTTGTTGTCATTGCTACTGTTGTTGTTCAGATTGTTTATCATACTGTTTTATTAAATTTCTTTTTAATTTATCTCGAGGTTTGTGCCTCACTTCCAGCCTGACTGTCCGAGGGTGAGGGAGCGGCAACAGCAGTGTGGTCTCTGGTCCTGCCAGGGCTTAAACCACCACAATAGGAATTCGTATCTGTGTAAAAGCGTAAATTGCTGAGAATACAGATATCAAGTCTGTGGCATTTGAAACATAGTTATCGAATTCAGAAGCCTAACGTAAATAGAAAATTATTTGGGTTGTTTTGAGTGGATGTCTCAACTGATTCCTTCAGCAGTTTCAGTCCGCATAGGTTATGTTTATTGAGTTCAGAAAAAGATAAATTGATTCAGAATCTCAGAGTGCCTCTCTAGTTTACTTTAACTTACAATACATACGAAACCTTATAAAGTGATATGTGGGTTACCAGAATGTTCGTTTACATTTTTTTTTCTGTGAGACTGTGTTTGAACTTCCAACACCTATAACTTATCTTCCTAAATCTTACATAGGGTTAGAAGCACTCTCTCCAGGTAAGCCAAAATTAAGTAGCACAAAATTAATTTAAAAATACTTTCTAAAATTATTTATAGCCTTGTACAGTTGTGGTAGGTAAGCATAAAATATAGTTGCTGGGCTCATGGTGAACAGAGTAAAAATGTAATTCAGTTTACTGTGAAACATAACTGCTTGTTTAATTTCTTTTTATTAGATCACAGAAAATACTGTACCATTCACTGTACTGGGTATATGAAGAACTGGGCTCCTAATGAAGTGGGAGTAGAAGAGGAAAATGATGTAGAGAAGGACAGTAGTAACTTTAACTGTCTTGTTGCAATTGGGAGGCTACACCCTTATATTGTTCCACAAAAGAGTGGAGAGATAAAAGTCAAAGCAACAGAATTTGTTACACGATTTGCCATGGATGGAAAATTTGTTTATGTAGATCAGTGGTAAGCATTTTATTCTTTAATGAAGCGAAAATGAAAACAACATCACCAGTTAAATTTTGTAATACTTTTTCAGAATTTTAATTTCTCAAGCAAGATAGAATTTCTGGGTGCTGTACACAAGAAGCAGTTCATTCTGAATCTGAGTAGTTTGGCTTTTTTTTTGTCACACTTAAAATGTTATGAGCTAGCAAGATAAAAATATATAATAAAATGCACTTGTACTCATTCATAAATTAAAATCTCAAATTAGACCTTCGTAGCTATGCATATGACTTAAGTAGTAAAATTAACCCCAAATTACTACTGCATAAAATCTTACAATTTGGAACAAATACATTATATCTAAATGAGGTACCAAATTAATTTCATTGGAAGTGAAAGCTAAGTTGCTATTTTCTGAACTTTCTAAAACAGACTTGTTGTAGAGACTGAGCTACTCATTAGTGACACTGGAAGCTTTTTACTGCTTTCAGTTATCTTCTCTTTCATACAAAAGTCAGTTTAAACCTATTCCTTAAACTGACAGAGCAAAATTCATCTACTAAACTTTTTTGATGATGCCTTAAGTGTGACCAGTAGCCTGACTGGCAGATGGGAAGACCTAATGATCATAAGTATTTTGTGTGTACATGTGGTTTGCATGTTTGAACACTTATTTGTCTTTGAATTGCCATTCATTGCAAATGGCTAACTTGCAGTGAATAATATTTCCTTTTGGCTTAGAGTTATACTAATGCTGTATCTTTTCTCAAACACGAACACAAGCTTCTATTCCTTTAAATATTAATTTTCTGTTTTATTTGATACTTAAGAAAACAAACTTTGTAATTATTGAAATCCACAGTAGTTCATGTTTTTATTTCTAACAGTGCAACAGCAATTTTAGGGTATCTTCCACAAGAGCTTCTAGGAACTTCTTGTTACGAGTACTGCCATCAAGATGATCACAGTCATCTAGCTGAAAAACATAAAGAAGGTACAAAAGAACTGGTCCTCTTAGACTGCTTACAACTCCATGTAACTGCTGTGTAAAAACGCTACAAATCAAAAAATGAGAACCTGAGAATTAATAAAGCTAAACAATGTTAGCATTGTCCTTTTCTACAGCTGCATTAAAACATGCCCGCTTAAAGCTTATAATAAAAGCGGGGAGAAATCTCTGTTGTCTTGAATCTTAGTGCAGTGCTTTAATTGAAAGGGAATGATGTTAATGCTTCAGTTCTTTGTAAGAATGAGGAAGGAATCCTGAATAGCAAATGTGCCTAAACATATAGTTAAAGACACCAATTATGAAAGTTCACCAAATCAGAAGTCTCAGTACTAGTGGTTTGCAGAAACTTAGTACTTAAGCTTTAATTTAAGATTAAAGACACTGCTAAAATTATAGTTTTATTTTAGTAGAGTTTCTGTCCTGTCAGTTGTTCTGGCATTTAGTTTGTATTTCTGGCCATCAAAAACATTTCGGTTTTATGATGCTATAAAACAGATATTTTTTTAAACTTTACTTTTCTAAGTATAGATGTGGTGATTACAACTTTCCTTTCTTATCTAGTGTTGCAGAATAAAGAAAAAGTATTTACAAATTCCTACAAATTTAGAGCAAAAGATGGGACTTTTATTACTCTAAAGAGTCAGTGGTTTAGTTTCATGAATCCATGGACCAAAGAACTGGAGTACATTGTATCAAACAACACTGTGATATTGTAAGTAATTCATATGAATCCCCATGTTAAATTTTTGTTTTAATTACAATTAACATTAACAGAATGCAGGCTGTTTAAGAAGCAGAACAAGACTGGAAAACATCAACACTGTAGAAAAAGTGGTTAAGTAACCTGGAAAAACATTTTTTTGCATTTACCAGTTATTTTTATTTCGGGCTTAATTTGTAGATTTGACTCTGAAGACTATGCTGTTTCCTAGGAGAAAAAAAAATAGGTGAAAGTGTTTCTTATTAAGGGAAGAAAGGAAGAATCTTTTAAGAAAAGTAGATATGAATAAATGGAAATGGGAAGTTAGTTCAGCTTTTCCTTCTGAGCCTTACATGACTGCATGTGTCAATTGACCTAATTTTAAGTGTTACCCTACCTACCATCTGTCAAAATGTGGAGAAGCATAATTGATAGATTTTAGAAATGTAAGGCAGGACAGAAAGAAACTCTCCAAATTCATTGCAAGGGAGGAGCCTGTGAGACAGTGAATGTGTGTGTTTAATTCTTCTTTTTTATCTTTAATTCTTTTTCTTTTTCATTCTCTGTGCCTTGCAGTGGAGCTATAATTTAGATTTTCCACTGATACTGAGGATCTTTGCCAATGCCTGGGTTTTTGAGATGGCAATGGGGGGATTTTATTTCCATTAAATTAAGTTGTCAAGGGGGCCTCTTACATATTCTATAGGTGGTTCATGTCTTAATTCAACATCACCCACCTATTTTGCCCATGTCCTTTTTCTCCAAGAAGACAGAAGAGCAGTTAAGACAGTCTATGCTGCCCAACTGCCACTGGCAACTTTTGCCTGCCCTGGAGATCTGGGCATCTGCAGCTGTCTAAAGGAGTGAAGGTAGGCAGCAGTTGCTGGCAGATGGTAGCCACTGTCCTGTCCTTGTAGCAGTTATTTAAGGTTTTAACAGTAAAGTTAAAGGTGTTTAAGGCTGCCAGTTTTACCTAGTCCTAGTAGTAAAACTGACAGCCTTGTTTTTTGTCATGGAACACAGACAACTGTATTGGTCTTTCTTCTTTATTTGGAGAATAAGTGGAAATTCATATTTCACCCAGTGCTTCAGAAACAGTATAAAGGATTGAACATTGAAACATTTGAGGTATATCTCATCTTTTTACTAGTTTGAGCATGTTAGTTTTTACACTGTGTAAAGTATTATTGAAATCAAACATAAATATACAGTGTTTTGCCTTTGAAAATTTTGCTTATTTTGTTGTCTTTATTTATTTAAATCTCAGAGGTCATAACAAGTCAGCTGAAGAAGAGGTCCTCTATGATTCCCAGCCTGCAGAAGGCAAGTGTCACAGTTACCAAACGTGCATCTCCTGATCAATTACTACAATTAAAGGTTTATTCAATCCAGGAATTTTTTTTATTCTAGGTTGTTGTGCAAGGAAGGATTACTTTTTTTTAAAACTAATTCTGATGACAATTTCTGGTTACTCACATCATCCTAATTCATATCATTCACATAACTGATCAGAAGGGCTTATAGCCTATCTTTTTCTTCTAGCAACTTCTAATCTAGCTAAGATTTTGGTTGATAGGATATTATGCTTTTGTCACAGAACCTTCATATTTTGCCTGGCTTTCTGAAGAAATGCAATTGTACTATCTGTGTTTACCTAAAGAATATAGGATGATACTGATATTGGTACATTGTCAATATTTTTATGCTGTGCATAGATGCTGATTTCTCCATGCTGTTTTATCATCTTGCTACATTTGTTTTATTTTTGCTTTTGAAATGGTTCTTTTTAATAACTGATTTCAGTTTGTGAAAAATCCAAGGGTGTTTTTTTCTCATGTGTGTTTTTTGTTGTCTGTGAGAGACTGGAGTTGGTAATGATTAAAGCTACTTTCACTACTGGACATCAGTAATTTTCACAAATTCAAATTTTCACTTATGTCTGTATTTCAAATGAGACTTACACACCCTCCCCCATGAGTTAGTGTTTTAAGGAATTTAACAGAACAAAAACTGCTTTAAAATTAATTCTTGAGGTGATTGTTCCTTGGTGTTTAATGAAACTGCTACAAACTTAAGGTTTTTTGTTGGTTTTTTTTTTTTGTTTGTTTGGTTGGTTTTTATGTGTTTTTTTTGTTTGTTTGTTTTTTTTTAACTTTAGATGCTGTAAAGCAGTCTTTAGTAAGTGTACCTGGAATGTCCTCTGGAACAGTTCTTGGTGCTGGAAGTATAGGAACTGAAATTGCAAATGAAATATTAGAATTGCAAAGGTAATAAACGCTTAACATCATACACTGGGCTTTTAAGTGAAGATAGAGAAGATGTATATGTGATTATGTGGAGGTTGTTCAGATTTCATTTTTATTTTGTTATGTGTATAAAATATTTCTAGGTTGAGCAGTGGTGTTATGAGATACCATTTATAACTAATGTTAGTCTCATGCATGGCAGAATATATCAGTGGTGCTGAGAAATAGTTTTGTTTTGGTCATGCAATTTCCTTTGTTAATGAAAGTATTACTTACCTATGACTTCAAAAGTGATACTGTGATGCAGCTTCTTCACACAGTGTTGAAATGGGTAGATAAACCATTCGGGAATGGAAAATCAGTTGTCTCTGAGTAGTGTTTATATTTTTCTGATAGTGTCACTCTGCTAGGAAGACTTTCCTTGAAAGAGTCCCCAGTGGAGTGATTTCATAGCCTGTATTGTCCATTTCATGATTATCCTGAATGTAGACTAAAGTGTCAGCACAATTCCCTCCTAGTACCCAGTAATAGATTAGAAAAAAATCTCAATCTCATTCCAAATGGAAATCCATACAAGATTAAAATTTTTAATTAAAGATTGACCACTTTAAAAATAACTAGTTTTATCAGATACACAGCATAGCCATGGAATTCAAATGGAAGAAACATAATTTCAGTGTGAAGATATCCTTATGTATTTTTTGTGTTGTGCACCCACAGTGGTGCCTGAGTTGCTTATAGAGTGAAAGGTTATTTCTCTACGACAGTTTGCACTGTATCATCATTTGTTGTCTAAGAATATTTCAAAAAAAAAGTCTCTGAGCCCCTATTTCCAGTACATGCACAGAAAAAGTCTGTTTTCAATCACAACTCTTTCAGGAGTTAAGGCTTCATCAGAAGGTCCAACCATTTTTGTTAAGGTCAAATTTAGTATAATGGTACTATCATCTCATCAGCACAGGACAAGTTATCTAAATGTTAGCTTTGCATAATGAAGCCGTCCCTCAGACTTTAGATCTTACACTTCCAGTTCCAAGTTACAGAATGCCAAGATTTTTTTTATGTCTGCAGAGCAGTGTGTTCCAAGGTCCCCTGTAGTTCTTTCCAGTGGGACTTTTGCAACTGGACCTGAAAGAGTAGTAATATTAAATCTTCCAGGAAAATGTATACCAGTTTTGGCAAAAATGGTAAAAATATAAGGAATAGTTTCATACCACAGAATATCCGGAGTTGGAAGGGACCCATGAGGATCATCAAGTCTAACTCTTGACTCTACATAGGGTAACCTAAAAGTTAAACCATATATCTAAAAGTGTTGTCAAACAGTTCTTGAACACTGACAGGCTTAGGATCATGATCACTTCCTGGGGAGCTTGTTCCAGTGCTTTACTATCCTCTCAGTGAAGATCTTTTTCCTAATATCTTTCCCTGATACAGCTTTAATCCATTCCCCACATCCTATCACTGGACATCAGTGAGAAGATGTCAGCACTTCCCTCTCTGCTGTCCTTCATGAGGAAGTTGTAGATGGCACTGAGGTCACCTCTCTTTCTTCTCTTCTCTGTGCTGAACAAACCTAGCATCCTCAGCTGTTCCTCATGAGTCATGCCCTCTGGTCCTTTCAGGATCTTTGTTGCCCTCCTTTGGACACATTTATATCCTTCTCATATTGTGGAGCCCAAAACTGCACACCCTACTCAAGGTGAGGCCACCAATGCTGAGTCTAGTGGGACAATCGGTTCTTTCACCTGGCTAGCTATACTGTGCTTAATGCACCCCAGGGTACCGTTGTGCCTCTTGGCCACCAGGGTGCATTGTTGACTCACATTGAGTTTACCATCAACCAAACCCCTCCAAATCTCTTTCTGCAGGATGGCACTCCAGCCTCTTGTTCTCATCAACACATATCGATATATGCCATAGCATAGTGAGCTTCTATTGTTTCAGTAGTACTCTAACTCATCAGCTTGTCTGTGAGGATGTTAAGGGAAACAGTGAGAAAAGCTTTACTAAAGTCAAAGGAAGCAACAACCAATGCTGAAGTCCAGGATTACACATTATCTCTTTGCAATGTGATTGTCTTCTCAGCTGTCTCTTCATCAGAAGACAGTACTGTTTTTCTGTAAAAAACATAGGCAGAGCCAAAGAGTGTGATGAGTGACAATCATAGATGTTTCGTACTCTATTTTCAGTATTTTGAATCACCTCCCAACGATGAAGTCACATTCCTTTACTAGAATCGTCAAGTTGCACAAGGAATCATTAATTTTAAATGAAAGGAAGAACAGAATAAACACTTTAGTTGTAATGGGATGAAAAGATTGCTACTTAAAAAAAAATAAATTCATCTCTCAGCATGTTGGCAGGTTGCTGGGGTTATCTGGCAAGGAGGAGGAGAAGCGCTGGCAACAAAAAAAGGATATCAACAGTGAAGATGGGATGTTACATTTTGCTAATACCATTGTTAATGGCCTCTCATCACTACGACCAGTAGAGGGAAGCAGAGTCACTTTTTATTATATCTTTCTGCAGACTGAAATACATTGGCAAAAGGTCTCACCTCTGATGGTTAATATCCAGGCATCACACAAGAGCTTCATATGACTCTTGTTCTAGATTTTTCAGTCAGCTCAATGTGATGTTCTTGCTTCAGATCACCTGACTTTTGCTGAAAATGCTTACCCATGTGAGTGTGTCATCAGCTTAAGGAAACCAGTTTATTAAGTAAATTAATAATAAATCTGGTGGAGATGAAAGAATTAATTCATTCTTGAGGAATTTTTCTTCGAAGCTACCCCTTGAAAGATATTTGTGTTTTTAAGAATCACAAGCAATGCTCTTTCTCATCATATTGCTACAGAGTGTAAGAGTCGGTTAGAAGATGAGCATTGTCTCAACATTGTCATCAGGGACATGGACAATGAGGTACCTGACAACGGCCTGCTTGGCCTTGCCGATCCCTGGAGTGGAATGTGGTGCCAAGGCTCCTGAATACAGAACTGTGTGGCACAGCGAGTGCTGTTCTGTTCTCCTGAGCACTGACCCGTGTGGTGCAGGCAGTGCTGGGCTGTTCTGCGGTGCCTGAGCCGTGCAGTACAAAGAGTGCTGTGCTATTGTTCGGTACCTGGGCCTAGCCAGAGCTGTTAGAGATAACCGCATAGCCACTGTCAAAAAAGATGGATCGCAACTGTTGCCATAACATCGATGAAGAAATCATGAACCTTAGATGAACTTTGCTTCATTATCATACCAAAACACACCTCCTGGTGGAAGGCTGCCTGCCGCCAAGACTGACCACACCTCGGATGCCCCTCCCTTTTCATGTGCGATGGCCTCGCTGAAGAAGGGCGGAGACCCCCGAGGCAGAGGTGGAGCAAGATGTGTTACTGAGCATACAAGGATGACTTCTGGACAAAGAAATTTGGAAGCTTCCCCACCAAGGACCACGACGATCGATGACGCAGCATCAGCTGGACCCGGGACCGTTAGGACGTCGTGAGATCAGTGGTGGTAGCTATAATCTCTGTCCCCTCTCTCTCTAAAACTTTACTTTACTTCTCTCCTTTCTTTCACCCGTCTCTATCGCGTGCCGCTTCACAGGCAACACAATCAAATTTCACTGTTTTATTACTGCTATTCCCTTTGGTGTCGGTCCCCTTAATTTTGCACTTTCGAGATTGTAGCAAATGAACTATCACGAGTCCACCGAGTGGACCATGACATTAAACTGGCGTCATGGACAGGATCCTGAGAGACAGGGGGGTGCAGGTTGTGTGTGGTCTGTAACAAGGGAAGAATGTTTCGTTCCAGCCACACCTGGCCCTACACCTGAAAGGGTAAGAGGTTTCCAGAAAGCAAGGGGGGCGACTCAAGATTCCCGCACACCACACACGCCTCAGTGTATTGCACCCCAAACTCGAATTGAGGGCTCTGTCTATCAGGATCAAGTGCAAGGATCTCTTAGTGCAAAAGGGGGAACTGTCCTCAAAGATGAGGTCGACTACCCAGAGAAGTTAAAGGGACAAGCCGAGGTGTGTAACTAAGTTTTGACTCCCCGTGGTAGATTTTGGTCCCTTCAGCCATTCGGGGAAAAGAAGGGCGACTCAGCAGCTGTTGAGTGAGTGGTTTAACTTAAGTTTAACCTCCCTGATGTGAATCTGGCCTTTCGTAATAAGAATGACTGAAAAAGATGGTTATCAGAACTCCCCATTAGTAAAAAATCTTGACTCTTTCTATGCACTCTTGGCAAAATTTGGAGCTCGACCCTCCCCACCCAGGGAGGAGTCGGCTTGAGACGACTGGGCAAATTTGCAGAGTGTAACAGACCGAGTGACTTCCATACATAATGAGGCTAGATTATGATCAGGTAAAGGCAAAGCAATAATCTGTGCAGTTCTTGGAGCCAGCCTGGTCTTAGCAATTGAAGACTGCTATAAGCGGCGTAGCCATGAAAAACAAATCATAGAATCCCTTGAAAATTTGGTACAACTTTTGCAAAGAACAAACTCCAGCCTAGAAGAGCAGTTAGCAGAAAAGGTATAGCAGTTAGCAGAGAAAGAGAGAGCAATGTGCTTGTTCAAAACAGTTAAAAGAGGAAAAGAGATACAGATCGGTTGTAGAGTCTTCAATGCAAGTGATGTAAAAGATCTGCCCCCCCGACTCAAATTACTATCAAGGGAATTTCTAATGGAAAAATTGGATCCAAAATAGGTCAAACCTGTTGTGTGGCTGAGGTTTGGTAGTATCCATTTACTGCAACCCAACCAGTATCCATAGTTTGTTTGGGAGGAGCTGGGCTGGGGGACCAAGCTGTATCTTTCAAATTTCAATTGAATATAACACAGGAGGAAACCACAAATACTCCTTTTCATACTGTTCCAACTCAGGTTACTAATTCACCTATTACCCAACCAACTTCTGTGCTTAGCCCAAAAATCTTTGGAATTGGACCATATGAAATCAGGAATACGGGCCAACAACAAATGTTTTTTAACCCAGCATGGTCTCTCAAACGAGTTGAA